TATATATATATATGAACATATACACAGGGACATACAACCTATGAGGTTAAGAAAGGGTTCTGTAGGGGTGATAGCAGTATACCAAGCATATGGAGCACTGGAAGTTTTTAGGGGACTGCATGGTCCAGTAGCCGGCCAGGCACCGAAACCACATATAGGCTTCAGCAGTAAACTTCCAGGGTGGGAACAGCATCGGTTCATGTGTACGTGAAGGGAAGTTCTTATAAGTACATAGGATAGAGGAGTCAACCAGCACACGAATCATATGTAAATGGGTATATATATATATACACATGTCTATGTCTCTCTGTGTGTTTATAGACATGTGAGACATGTGAGAATATACATATATATATATATAGAAATGTAAGTAAGTATGTATGTATGTATGTATGTATGTATGTGTGTATGTATGTATGTATGTATGTATGTATGTATGTATGTATGTATGTACGTATGTATATGTATGTATGTATGTATGTATGTATGTATGTATGTATGTATGTATGTATGTGTTTATGCACATGCCCTGCCCCAGAATTATACCACAACGATCTACAACACAAAACTCCTGCGTCCCACGCGTGGCGGATCTCTTGCATGCAATCGGGCGCCCGCGTGAGCCGGTACAAAGCCCCCCATGCAGATGGATGGGTGGAAGAGTTGAACGGACCGGAACCAATCCCCTGTAGCGGAGCCTGCTGATTCTGGGCAAGAGGACTGGTGGTCTGCACAGCAAGCTGGGTTTGGGCAGGACTGGTGGTCTGCGTAGCGAGCTGGGTCTGGGGAGGACTGGTGGTCTGCAAGGCGAGCTGGGTCTGGGGAGGATTGGTGCTCTGCACAGCGAGCTGGGTCGCGAGCTGCCTCTGAGCAGGAGCCTGCTGACTGGGGGTAGCGACGGGAGGAGCCACCGCGGCCACAGAAGGATTTGGCAAAGCAAGCTCGCCTGGCTGGGGCACGGCCGCTTGGCCTTCCATTTTTGCACGAAGCTTTGCTTTAGCATCTTGAGCATCTGGCTTGGGCTGGGCACGAGGAGCATCTGGCGGCTGGGGTCCAGGGTTCGAGACTCGGTCGGCCTCCGCTTTGGCCGCTGAGGCTTGCTCGATGAGCAAGCAAAGATTGTGCTCGTGTTGGTCCTTTTCATCCTGTAGAATAGCCTGATGCTCGGCTTGTTGTAGCATGAGCTGGTGCTCGTGCTTCTCCTGCTCTGCCTGTATCGCCTGGTCATGTTGTTTCCTTGCATCTGCAAGGGCCTGCTGATGCTGAAGCAGCTCCTGTTGCATTTGCGCTCGTAGCTTGCTCATCTGCTCCTCGACGTACTTCTCCAAGGAAGCACGTTCGTCCTTCATCCTCTTGCTAAGCCCAGCATCTTCAGCATCATCCATTGGACGCTTCTTTGAAGCATCCGGTGCAACTGCAGCATGCAGCATGCTCGCACCCGGCAGAATCTGCGTCGTTTCGGTTGTAGTGCTTCCACCACAACTCCCGCTGGAGAAACCTTTGTTGTTGGGGCACAAGCATGAAAACGGACATGTGGCTAGAATTTTCACGAGAACAGCTGGAGCACATATCTGGATCAGCCATAGAACCGCGCTTCAGTGCTCCATGTGTACGAAGGTACTCTTCCTTCAGAGCTTTCGAATCGGGCGTGTCGCCCAAAGTCTTCCACAGCTCAGCCGTCTCGGGCGACAGGCCTAGGAAGCGATCATCATCGTCAGGCACTTCCTGTTTCTCGGCCTGCTGGAATGAAACAGAACGTGTTGGAATGGAAAGTCAACACACAAGCTGATCAGACTAAGCTTCCCAGCCCACCGCCTTCACCTTGGTGGGTGTGGCGATCTCGCTTTGCTTCTGAAGGTAGTTCATCCCCCGGTACAGAGACTCACACGACATGCGGTGCACCACCGTGGCCCCGAAAAAAGGCAGCCTACACTGTCACTATGTGGCCTATATATATTCACAGATACACATGTATACCTATGTATGTATAAGTAGACACACACACACATGATGCATCTTGCAAATGCCAGGACCTTTGCTGCGAGCTCGAGCAGGGCCGGGAAGAGGTCCAAATCATCAGAAGAATAAGCTTTCACGGGCAGGGGTTTGGCTTTATGAAGCTAATGTAGGTCCTATAGGTATTTGGTACCCACGGTAGGCCCAGTAGGCAGTCCTACAGACATCTACACCCATGTCTATAGGCTGTTCGGTCTGGGGATGAACAGGGACATATAGCTGTTAGATGTCTTTATATATAGATCGATGTAGTAAATGCCAAAATCTACAGGGAACGATCAGGGCTGTGGCTGCTAAAAGACTTGTTTGGCTTAAAAACTTCAGGGTACAGGGTCCTTTGGGAACATAAGCCGTATATATACCCTATATAAACCCTATAACCCTATATAAACCCTAAACAAGAAACCCTAAACCTTATATACCCTATAACTTATAACCCTATGACCCTATAAGCCCTATATACCCTATATACCCTATATAACCCTAAACCCTATAACCCCTATAACCCTATAACCTTATAAACCCTATAAACCCTAAACAAAACATTGTAAGTGGTGTATATATATGTATCTGTTAGATTTCCAACTTAGAAAAGGGTTTTCTTTAAGGGCTTTGATGTTTCAATGGGCAAGTCTCGTGTTGATAACAAGTACAGTCTTGAGACCCCTCCCACCCAAGAGACGGCGAAGTCTGTGTTAAGCTCCTATCCCACTTGTACATGCGTTGGGTTCTCAGACACACCCATATACATTATGTAGCCTTGCACAAGCCTTGCATGACTTAAGGTTTGAAGGGTTCTTACCGGTCTAGGAGTTTATTTTGGGTCATTGCACTTCTTGGTTTCCATGATGCACCTTTAGAGCTTTGCAGATGTAGAAATTTACTGTATAAGATGGTAAAGTACACGTACACTTGGAGGGTTTGTGCATTGCGCACAAGCTCAGAATCTATATAGACAGCACCACTGAGCAACTGGTCCGGCTTGGGGGCCCTGGATGGGACCGAAACAGCTGTGGGCTGACACGATTGACAGCCGGCACGACTACATTCCTGACCACATGTTTTAAGACCAGACAGACGTCTGCAGCATCGAGCTCCTCGAGTTCCATGACTGCGACACTACAATTACATGGCGCGGCCCTGCCCGTCTGGTGTTGCAACATCGGGAGCAAGGAGCTCCATGACGGCATGCCACGATTCACGACTTGACGGAACTATTGGGGCCCCCCCTCCCTCCCGGCAACAAGCCGGCGTAGGCCTCCGACTACCCGAAACCCCGAATTTCAATTCCTGCAAACCCTAAGACCCCATCTATCCCTATATAACCAATTGGATAGCATTCGAAACCAAGGAACCTAAGACCACAGATAAATAGATTCTCGCCTGGCTGGTTGTACTTTAGATTAAAACCGGGTTCCAATGGTTTCGCATAAGGACTAGGTTTGATGATACCTACCCAGACCCACAAAAGGATCTAAAAAATAGATCCCCTAATTAGGGACCCTAACTAATAAAGGGTACTTCATAGGAACCCTTTTAGGGGATCTATTTTTTAGATCCTTTTGGTTGTCTGGGTATTGCAGTGACCTCGGAGATAATCAGGGTTGTGGTTGGGCTCCATTTGAGGCATATAGGACATAGGAGACTTCTTTAAGGGACCTCTGAAACGAATCCTATCACTTTATCAAAACCTTGGCAAGTATATAGGCTAGTGAGAACCTATAATTAGAAGGCCGGTGTGGCAATTGACACGTTCCAGCCCTGAAAACAGCTATAAACATGCAAGACAAGAGCACTTACAACAGTACAATCATAATCCTAGCTAGGCCCTCTACTTAAACCAAAGCCCTCTACGAACGACCTAGCCAATCCTGGCCCCACCGTCAGCAGAGTTAACAGAAGCAGAGCCCCCATCATAAATAACTGCACACCGCATAATCAAAAACCCAACACTAAGACCATTAAATTATGATAGATACCAAGACAAATCTGCGCTTGTCAGGGCGACCCTGGCGTGGCTGTATCCGGGCCTATCTGGGCGGCTTTTAGACGTATCCTAGGCTTTAAAATAGAACATTATAGGTCTGGTGGATGTTCTGTTCCGGTTTAGTAGTTGCTCAAAGCTTTGGAAAGCGGCTTCTATCGGGAGGGGTTTAAGGGTTTGGGGGTTTAGGGGTGTAAGGGTTTCGGGGTTTAAGGGTTTATAGGGGTTTAAGGGGTAGTTTAAGGCTTCGGGATTATGAGTTCTAGGGACCTAGAGGGCTTTCCAAGCATAGGTTGCAGGGTTGAATTAGTCTGGATTCCACAATCGAAGGAACCCGCAGCCCCTACAATAAAGTAGCCCAACACGGCCTAGAACTGCTATAGACCTTGTATGGAGTCTGGGCAGGCCCGCCTAGTACTTAACAGTGTTCTGTGGTTACCTCGAACAGGAAGACCCTGAAGACCCCGGACATAGACAGGCTAGGAAAGATCGTAAGGATGCATCGCATTCCAAGCAAGTAATCCCCCAAAGGCCCCAACCACCCCCGCCTAAGATCCTTTTTATCCTATACAACGGAAGGAAACCAGAAGCCTCCTGAACCACCCTGTAATCAACTGCCTGGACAGTGCTATGGGGTCAAGGAGATACTTAGCAAGGTAGTGGGTTTAGGACCAGTATGTATAGTTTCGGGTTAGCAGAGTACTATGTACGTGCAGTGACATACGTCATCTCACACACGGACACCTGAATTACCTGGCCCTGGAGAAGCAACCCGGGGAGGGCGGTAGCACCCGAGGAAGCCGATGTCGAGGGCAACGCTGCTTCTCCTGCAACGACTCTGTTGTTTGGTTGGTCTCGGTAGATTACACAGTTACATATCCAACTCCAACTCAGAAATTGGTTTAGGTTGCTTTGTAGCACAGCTAAGTGAGAGGATTGCAAAAACTGGTAAAACCACTTTCCTAAAGGTAAACTGGTAGGGCGTAGATTTTCTGTTGCATTCTTGCGCGTTCTGTTGCTTTTTTTTGGTTTTCTGGTGTTTTTTTTTGGTTTTCTGTTGCAGTTCCGTTGCAGCGGTTTCCAGGGTCGGGCATGCATTTTTTGGTTTTTTCAGGTCTCGGCCTGGTTGCGGGTGTGTTTTTTGTGTTTTTCAGGTTATTTGGGTTTCTGGGCGTGTTTCTAGTTCTTTTCCAAGTTCTCCTGGCTTGTTGGGGATTGTTAGTATTATGTTCTTACGTTTGCTTCGAACACATGCAGGTGTTTATCGTGTTAGCAGAGCTCCTGGTCTTTCATCACACACTGCATATGACGGTTTAGCTGAACACATATGCGCGGATCGTGGAAACCTGATGTTGTATGTTCTACATGGGACACACTGGGTCCTGAGCTAATCCTACACCTCTTATAGGTTCAGGGTTTTGGCGGTTTACAAGCGTAGCTCCTATAGAGGTTCAAGGTTACTAGAGTTTAAACAGGGTTCAGGGTTTGGAAAAAAGAACCCTTCAGGGGGATTAGGGTTTATAGGGTTCAGGGAGTTTAGGGTTCGGGGTTTATAGCGTTTAGGATTGATCATCGGGTTTTAGGGTTTGAGGTTAGCCCCTCTCGGCTACACTCGGAGCCCAAAACATCCCAAAACCCTAGAGATCTTCCCTATTGTTCGCCTGAAATCCCTAGCCTAGACCCTATAGACCCTCTATACCCTGGCCCGTAAACCCATGACCCTATACCTAACCTATTATAAACCCTAACCCTCAGTCTGAAACCTTGGAAACATGAGCATCGTGACAGCGTTAGTAAGCCAAGCTACGACTCCAAGTAAAACACACCACAAACCCGGCCCTATATAGGGGGCTATACACATTTTGCGGCACATCCCTGCAAGATCAAGCTCGTCGCAGTAATTGGCATGCAATCGAAGAAGGCACCCTGGAACATCTATAGATGTGGCTCCAACCACAGCACAGCAATGGCTCTAGCCACAGCAAGGCTATGGCTCCTACCACAGCATTAGCTAGGCTCGTGCGATGCCCAGTGCAAGCTTAATTTCCGGAGCCAGCTTGATGCTTTGGCTTCCCAGTAAGTAGCACACGACATCATCCAAGCAGGCATCCTCCATCCAGTACTTGGATGCAGCATCTTCGTAGTATTGCTGGGACCCGAGTAGCAGTTCCATAGATGCATCTTCAGGAACAGCCTTTCAGCGGTTTGAAGGAAACCTTACCCCTATACAGCCTACATTAACTATAATCTATAAGAACCCTATAAAAGCAAGGATATACCCTATAACCACGAACAATAAAGGAATGATAAGGACCTATTACACATGTAATTAATTTGAGTACAAACTCCATGGGAGCTTGGGCTTGTAGGCTAGCGGGGTCGTATCCAAGGCAGCCTTCGGCTGTCGCATGGGCGAGGCTTTCATCTCCGGCAGCATCGAAGCCACTGTCTGGCCGAATTGAGGTGTGTAGGTCCTGTCAGGGAGTGGGATGTCGTTTCCGGAGTCCAGGGATCTTTGACTACTGTTTTGATAGACCGGAAGGCACTAAAAACCATACCCCCGAGCCGGTCTGGGATGATTTGAGGCGTTTCTTGATGCCGGTGAAGCGCTCTTTGCCCACTCGTTCGTCCCAGTATCTCTTGCACAGGGGCTGAGCACTTGCCCGTAGTGCCTTATCAAGTTAACAGCATTTACCTGTGTATCCATATAAGTATGGAAAACTACAC